ACAGTTGAAGTGAAAGCTCAAACCGATCGTCTTCGAATTCATCACGTTTATCACGTCCCAGATCTGAAAGATCTTCAATTGATTGTAAATCGACTGTTGAAATCAACAGCCAAACATGTAGAACTTCCTGGCTGAATAATGGTTTAATTACACGCTAAGAATGCGTTATATTCACAGTTGATTTGGGAAATTTAATGAAACTTAATGCTAATCAAGAGTATAAATAGAATTAGCAACAACAAATACAACAGAAGTAATTTAAAATTAACTGAACTTAACTTAAATAAAAAGGTAAAATCAATTTTGAGCCTTAATGAAACAAGGAAACAGGGCTACAATTGTTTGCCTCTAGGAACACTTTAGTTTATTCAATTCAAATATATTTTTTAGGGATTTTTGCGTTAAAATTCCAGTTTCAATTCGTCACATACATTGCGAAACAATTTGAATTGATAATGAATGTTGCCTGATGAAATTCACCCCCATAAAATCGCCTGGCATAGAAACCTCGACGATAATTTCGAATTTAATCGTACAAAATCGAGCGTGTGCTTTTGCAAACAAATATCTTAAAATTTAAATAATTGATTATCGCAAACCCGAACAATCGGATAATTAATAAAACCATGAGTGAATTAACAAACTGACCGGCAACGGTTCCGTTTATTCAATTCGGTGCACGAAATCGGAAAATTGTTTTAAACAGGCATAATGAGAATTAATTATTTATATTAATCTGCATTATGTAATGGAAATGTATTGGGCATGGATAACAAGTACTGGAATTATCAATGTTTGTTTTATTGTTAAATTGTTTGTTCCACAATATTGGCATTGACCTTAGCATGAAATCTGCGTACTAAGCGGATAATTGCGGCAAAATTTCACATTCAAAGTGTATTTGAAATAATAAAATAGTCGAAAAAGAAGCGAACTGCGAATCATTTGCATTCGATTTGGCTTTTTTTGGGGCGACACATGCGGTTTCCACACTCGATTTGCATCCCAACATTGCTGATATGCCACCGTGTTTAATGGAGAGACTAATTATAATTGCTGAGCGGATTGCCGATTAAAAGCACTAATTGAGAACGGAAACACTCAAAAGAAGTGCAATTTACAAGAAATCTTCCACCAAAAATTTAACGCTAAGATTATTCCAATTGTTGTAAGTGAGGACTTTTAGATTACACAGTTGCTGTGGTTGTTCAATGTTTTTTTGCTTCTGCAAACAGATTTTTTGTTCTAATTTATTTCGGCTTATTTGGTTCACAAATCAATTTTGTGTAAAAGTTGCTTTATTTTAGAAGTATATTTCAACTTGTCTTTGGTCTTGTTTTTCAATGTTTATTGTGACAGAGTTTTTGACAATTTATTATTCCATTCTTCAACATTTGAAATTAGAATTTTACAGAAGGTTCACGTGAAATTAAAGCTGGAGGATTTTTGAAACTGATTTAAGTGTGGAGTGGAAATCAAAAATACAATGGGAGGAAATATTCGTAAATTGTATAATATGTATGTAGGTATATTAAAATATCAAGATAATTTTTCTAGGATATTCATAAGTGGCGTGTGCGACTTAGAACAGATGGACGCAAAATAAATAAAACATCGGATAATTGAAACTTTTTTAAATACCTTCTAGTGAGGTTTATGTAGAAACTGTTTAAGAGTGTGAATTGTAATGCAGCTGGTAGATGCTTGGTTGATAAATTGACTGGGTTTATCGAGGAAGATTAACCGTAAATGTATGGGTTTGCATATTTTTATTTTTAATTTATTGTGGGGGCGAGAACGCATTAAATGTAAAAGTATACCATCTTTAAGCCATGGAAATTTCATTGAAATCGTACCAGATTCAAGTCAATTGAACTTTTCACTATCTCTGGAAGAGACTTGAAGCTCTAACTTCTTGAAATTTCATTCAACTCCGGAAAAATCCAAACTTTTGCTACGAAAATCCAATTTGATTTTAAATAAACAAGTTCACACACTTACACGCTTTCGTTCAAAAAAATTATAACTTTCCACTGGAATCGCGTAGAATCTCGAAATTCGAAATATTTATAAAAGAAGTTCGAAAACCTCATTAAGATCGCTCAAGATCCAAATTTTTGCTGCCCAAGTCAAGTCTGTGTTTAAGTCATCAATTTCAGACACTTACCTTTTTTGCTTTCAAAAATCGTAACTCTTAAGCGAAATGAAATAGATACTTTCACAATCTGTAGAGGAGACTTGAATCTTCAAGTTCTTGAAATTTTATTGAAATCGCGCAAAAGTCTGAACTTTTGCTAAACAAATCCATGCTGCTTTAAACCGGTTATTCTTGTACGTTTACATGCTTTCTTTTAAAAAATTATAACTTTTATTTGAAGTGTCGTAGAAACTTGAAATTCTCAGCACCTGTAAAAGAGGTTAGAATCTGAAAGCCGCAAAAATTTCATTAGCATCGCTCAAAATTCAAATTTTTTTTGCTAACCAAGTCAATTCTATCTTAAAATGACCAATTTAAGACACTGACTTTCTTTGCGTTCAAAAATCGTAACTTCTAATTGACACCAATTAAATACTKAAAACTTTCACGATCTGTAGAGGAGATCTGAACCWTCATGTTCAGCAAATTTGAGTGAAATCCCGCTTGATATCGACTTTTCCTAAGCAAATCGATGCTGGTTTAAAATGAACAATTTSACACATTTACTCGCCTCTCTTTAAAAAATTATAACTTTCAACTGAAATCGCATAGAAACTTGAAAGTCGCAACATCTATAAAATAGGTTAKAATCWGAAAGCCGCAAAAATTTCATTAGCATCGCTCAAAATTAAAATTTTTGTTAACCAAGTCAATTCTGTCTGTAAATGACCAATTTCAGACACTTTTTTTTAAAAAGTCGTAATTTCAAATGGTGATCAAGTAGATGCTTAAAACTTTCACGATCTGTAGAGGAGATCTGAATCTTCAAGTTCGTCAAATTTGAGTGAAAATCTAGACTTTTGCCAAGCAAATCCATGATGGTTTAAAATGAAAAATTTGCACACTTACCCGCGTCTTTATAACAATTATAACTCTCAACCGAAATTGCATAGAAACTTGAAATTATCAACATATATAAAAGACTATGGAGTCTGTAGATCCTGAAAATGTATTTGAAATTGCTCAAAATCGGGATTTTTGCAAACCAAGTCAATTCCAACTAAAAATGACAAATTTTTGGCACTTACTTACTTTGCTCTAAAAAATCGTGACTTCCAATAGAGATTAATTAAGTACTTCAAATTGTCACGATCTACCGAGGAGGCCTGAATGTTTAAGTGATGAAATTTTTATTAAAATAGCGCTAAATCTGAACTTTTGCCAAACAAATCCATGCTGGTTAATCCGATTAATTTTGCAACGTTTACGCGCTTTCTTTTAAAAAAATTATAACTCTTAGTTAGAATAGCGTAGAAACTTGAACTTCTCAACATCTATCAAAGAAGTTAGAATCTGAAAGTCGCGAAATTTTCATTAGTATCGCCCAAAATTCGAATTTCTGCTAACCAAATCAATTCTCTCTTGAAATGACCAATTTCAGACACTTACTTACTTTGCTTTCAAAATTCGTAATTTCAAATGGACATCAAGTAAATACATAAAACTTTCACGATCTGCAGAGGAGATCTGAACCTTCAAGTTCGGCAGACTTGAGTAAAATTCCGATTAATCTATATTTTTGCTAAGCAGCTTGAATTTTGCTTTGAATTGAAAAATCGCCTAGAATCGGTATTTTTGCAAACCAAGTCAATTGTAGCTTAAAATTACAAATTTCACACTTACTTACTTTCCTTTAAAAAATCAAGACTTCCAATCAGAGATCAAGTCAGTACTTGAAATTTTCACGATCCATAGAAGAGGCGTGAATTCTTAACAAAATCCGGGATTTTGCTAACCAAGTCGCTTGACGACGGTTGATTTGATCAAAATAAAAATTGAATAATTTTCAGAACGTTTTCGTATAAATTAAAAACGGCAGGTTCTAAAGGGAAAACACGTTAATAAAATGACCCGAAAATTTGACGATAAATCCGACAATTCGAAGAAAATTACAAAGGTTCAAGTTGGAAGATGAGAATACAGCGCAGACTTCTGTGGAACCCAGCAGCTGTAAAAGTTCTTCATCGTTTCGAAATACTTTCAAAACCAGATGTCTATAAATTATGTATCAAATACATAGTAATTTTTCAACATTAGTTGGACGAGAACCAAAGTTGTTCATTGTTGTGAACATAAATTTGAAACAAACCCAATAAAAGCAATCTGAATGCGAATTGTAATGATGTAAATCACGTATTTATGAAATGGCACCAACAAAATATAAATAGTATGCGAAAAATAGCACTCCATTTAAATTCAGGCAGAACGTTCCGATAAATAAACATTTCCATATATGAATACTGCCAATGTTACAATGTGGATGGAATCGGGAATGGTTATCGCATTATCTCGGACAGTCCGGGGATTTTGCATGTTCCCTTGCAATATGAGAAACTGAACTGAAAATTACTGATTAAAGCGGTTGGGTAACAAAACAAAAATTGAAAATATCCCCAATAATAACAAAACCATCATTGACGAAAGTGGACAGAGTGTGATGGGCCCGGAGCTCAGTAGATGATGCTATTGTGAACCAATTTATCTCACATTTGCAAGAATATTGAAGACATTGAGGCTCCAAAGTCGAAATTCTGTGAACCAAAACCGCAAAAAATGGTAAAAGTTAACAAATCTGCTACAAGTGCTTCCGACTTGGGAAAAAGGTCTTCAACACCTTCTAATCCGACCGCAGCACTTCTCAACCATAAGCAACCTTGTTTCTTCTACCTGCTGGCTTGCCGGCCTACTCGAAAAAAAATTCAAAAATAATGACATTATTATACCCCCACTTAATCCCATTCAGCACGCCATTGGCCAGCGATCGGTGGTGGGAACGGGGGATTTTGGGCATGCAGCTGTCTAACTCCAGTCTGAATCAAGTCTGGCTCTGACTGCCGAGCGGACATGAAAGAGCTTTGCCGCTCCCGAGCTCTATTCGGTTACGATCGTTCGCGCGCGAGATTTTCAAATTTTAATCAAAAAACCGTTTACGTGAATTGTTGGTGAATGTGATTTGATTAGTGAATTGGAATTGTGATCAAATGTTGTGTGAACGTTTTCGGATTATTTGCTCTTGATGAAGGTTTGTGTTTTTTTAAGTTTCTCCTAAATCTTCATAGATAGATATTCTGCTGGGGACACAAACCCTTTTATACTTTGACCCGTCAAATCGCTCTCGTCCAAATATAGTATCTATGGTCATATCGGCGTTTATAAATATCTGTTTATCTAGTGTGAAGTGAATGAGTGCAAATGCAATGAAGCGCAAACCAATTTCGAGTTGATTCGATATTTTCCTTTCCCTTATTGTTTCCTTTTTCTTAATTTTTCGACCTTTTTCTCATTAGTTTATTGCGCGTCTGATGCGAAAATATATATGAGAAAAAGTAAATTTTGTCAATTATCTGCCTAAATGTTCCGTTTTGAAGATTAAGCAAGCCAAACCTAAGAGAATTGCTCATGGAATCGATTGGAGTCAATTGCAGTGTAAACTCTGTGTCGTCTGCTAGAAAAGCTAACGAGACGAATATTTAAGGTGGTTTCGTAGCATTTCATTAAGGGAGATCTAGTTAATAATCTGTGTTAATTTGATTCGATTTACGTGGCAACTTGCTTTTATATGAATGATTGAACTTTGACTAATTTTAATACGGAAGGGAGGAGGAATGCAACGAACTCTTTGAAAAACATGTCAGAAGATTCAGTTCCGAAATAATCGATTTTTTCGGCACATTTTAGGCGTTTTTTGAGCCTCCACGGTCTTTAAGCCACGATTTCTTTCTTATCATTGATCCAAACGCTTAATAAATGCACTTTGCGAGCTTCTTAAGACGAAAGGATTGATTGAGCGCAAAAAACACACATGTTAAATTTTGATGTTTTGCCGAAAATTTTCTAAGGGTGGTGGGTCGATTTTTTGAAAAAATATAAATGTTCTCAAAAGCCTAGAAATCTACACCATT